TGGGCTCCACAGGGCTAGCCCCAGGGTAGACCACGGCAAGAGCTGGTCGTCAGCCGCCTCAATCTCCAGCCTACAGTGCATATGAGAACATGGAAAACCCACCCCGCTTCAGACTGCTTCCTAATTTCTCAAGGACAGATCGGGATAATCCCCATCCTACTGGCATGTGGAGAGGATTTAACTGGGTAATATATCTAAACCCTTAACCTAGTACCTGCAGCTGAGAAAGTGCGCAATAAATGGTGCCTATAATTATTATGAGTATGTTCACGAATAGCAGAAGTAAGCCAACATGGAGAGGACAAAAGATCTGGAATCTTACAAAGTACTTAAAATCAACCATGGCTTCTAATCTTGTAGATCTGGTTCCCTTCTGCAGCAGTATCTGGTTTCTTGAACCTTTGCCCTGCGATTCTATCCAGGGTACGGAGTGTGCTCGTATATAAAATCTCACCCTCACTCCCAGCCTCCTTCCTAAATGTAGAATATGCATTCGCATCCTCCCGGCTCGATGGGAACTTGGCACCTCACACAACCTGCAGGCCGCATGGCTCCAATTCACAGTCCTTCGCTTCAGAAGAACCACCCTCTTTGGAACATTTTCTCACATTTTACAAAACTCAGCTGGAGAGAGGAAAATGTGAAACTTATATTGGACTGAAACTGAATAATAAGGCTTGATTGGTCCAAAGACTTTAGGGGGAAAAAAATGTCCTTGTTTTATAATTTTCAAATTTGAGCTCTGATATGCAGGGATCAGCATGAGAGGGAGATGCATGAGTGATAACGCTGATGCGAAGGAGGCCAAGCCGTCTCAGCGAGGGAGGAGGAGAGCTTTCTGTGCTGCCTCTGTGACACCCAGCTCCCAGCTCCCCGACCTGTGAGCTCTCCTCTCCCCACGTGCTTTTTCGGCGTGAGCTATTCTCAACTCTTCCTTTTGCTTACATTAGCCAGAGTCCGTTTCTGTTGCTTGCAGCTCAGTAACCCTTACTGAGTCCTAAATAAAGGGGGGCAGGGGTGGGGAGGCAGTTATGAGTGAGAAGAAAATGAATAAGGAACAAAGAGCAGCAGAGAAGATGCAGAAAGCAGCCAGAGCCTAGGACTGCTTCACATTTTGAAGGGTTCCAGTCCTAGTCCAAATGCACCCTTCAAAACAAGGCGCCACCCCACCCCCCCTACAGCATCTTCCATGAAAATGGTCCCTGTGCCTTGTTGCTGATGTGGCTGCTGTGTTGGTATTGGTCAGGACTCTTTCAATTGCAAGTAACAGAAAGATAACTAATCAGTTGAAGCAAAAAAGTCCAGGGACCATGCTGCTGGCGTGGCTAGACTCAGAGTTCATAGGGTGCTGTCCGAGCCGCCACCGTTCAGTCCCGTTTCCCCTCCTGATGGCGGAGGTGGCCCTGTATGCTCCAGGCTCGTATTCTCCTAGCTCATCATCTCAGAAGAAAAGGAGTTTCTCTCTTCCAACGAAAGTCCTGTGGTTGGTGCTCACTGGAGATCTGAGTTGCTTTCAATAAAGTACGATTAGAAAATTATAGTTGTTCGGGCTTGGTCATATGCCTGCCCTTGAACTAGGATCAACCCACACAAACCACACAGGAAAAGCATGAGAGAAAACCTTTTCTCCAAGGACATGAGGGCTACTGGTTGCTCTGCGTAACTTTTCTTCAGTTCTTTCCGGAAGACCAGACACCCAAATGCTAGCCAGGCACCGAGCCACGCAGAGTGAAGACTACATTCCAAAGGACCTCTTGAAGCTACAAAGCCTTGGGACAGTGCTCTCACCAACTGAATGTAAGTGGCAGTAATGGATGCAACGTCCAGGAAATGCCCCCAGAGGGATCTGTCATGTCCTTCTTTGTCTTTTCATCCTTGCCTTTGTCCGGAATGTGGTCATGATGGATAAGGAATGTGGAGGTGAGTAAGGCGCCCTGGACCAGCCGGCCATGTCGGATGGAGGAGACACGTACGTGGTGGAGCCTGGGTCCCCAACACTGTGCAGCCACCAGCCCTGACTCCCTTCACCTTCTTCCAGGTGACAGGAACAGGAACAGGAGTGTCTTTGACAAACCATAACCCAAAATAATCCTCTTCAATCCCTCCAAAGGAAACTCATGGTGCTGCTATGAAAGGGGGAGAAAGGCTGAGCAGGCATGTCCCCTGTCTCACTCCCTGAAACACTACCTAAGTCATGGTCGGTCCTCTGGGTGGACTTTGAAGAGGCAAAGCTGCCTGGCTCTGGTGCATCCGAATACCCAAGATCTTCAGAACGTGTGCATTCAAAGGTAAAACTAAGCTTAAAGTGGAGCCAAGCACAGTTATGAGAAGGAACTGCACCCGGATTTCCCCACTGAGGATAAAACGCTTGTCAGAGTGGGTTAACCTACATTTAACCGTGTCACTTTAAGAATGGAGGTTCACAATATGGAAGTGCATATTAGAACCCCTTTCAACATATTTGTGTTGACATTTTTATTAACAACTTTAGTGAGGAATTAAATTGTAATCAAACACAGATATGACATGATGCCAATAGAAGGGTTGTCTTGAATAACAGAACCATAGAATTACACATCAGAACCCAAGGAGGTGTTTGAAGTTAATCTTGACTCCCCATTTTACAGGTGAGAAAACTGAGGCTCAGAGAGGTCAACCAACTTGCTCCAGGTGCACCTGGAATCAATGGTGAAGCTGTCTGGATTCAATCTTCCTACTTCCTCTTTTTGAATAAATGAAAGCTATATCATGATTCAAGATTCAAGTAGACTTTTTTTTTTTTTAATGGAAGCAGTGAGCTGATGAGACCAGATACAATGCAATCAGGTCAAATGTGTAAGGACCTACATGTTCGGTCCACAAAAGCCCACTGTACAAGCGCAGTGTGCAGCCGATGTGCCTTAATCAGCAGCACTTGTAAGAAACACTTAGAGACGTGAGTCAGCTGCAAGCTTGAGGTGTCAGCAGTGTGATGGGGTGACAAGAAAGAGATAAAGCAGCCATAGGTGGCATCGCTAGGAACAGTTTACAGAAGATAGGTCTGAGTCCTGTTGAACCTTTCAATCTATACCTGATTCCTCCCAGGTGTCAAGAGTTTAGAATGATCTAGACCCGTGGTCGGCAAACTGCGGCTCTCGAGCCACATGCGGCTCTTTGGCCCCTTGAGTGTGGCTCTTCCTAAGCCTTAGGAGTACCCTCATTAAGTGAATAACAATGTACCTACCTATATAGTTTAAGTTTAAAAAATTTGGCTCTCAAAAGAAATTTCAATCGTTGTACTGTTGATATTTGGCTCTGTTGACTAATGAGTTTGCCAACCACTGATCTAGACAAATTAGTTCAGCTCTAGGATGGAATTACATGAGGAATGGTCAAAGGAAGTTAGGGAACTGCAAAGCACTGTAACATAGAACTTGAATCTTGGAGTCAGACTGCCTGGGCTTAATCCCCGCTGTCAGTTACTGAGGATGTGTTCATTAAGCCTTGATCTCACTGTCTGTACGTGAGGTTGGCACCCTCTCCCTTTGGAGAGAAGGGAGGTAATGCATGTCATGTGGTGTGCACATCGCTGGCACAAAGCAAGCACTCCACAAATGTTAGCTATTGTGGGGATGAAGGAAGCACAGCGATGTGGGGACAATGGTAACAGCCTAATAGGCTGTGGTGAATATTAAATGAGTTAACACATGCCGAGGGCTCGAAACAAACCTGATAGCAATTATTATCTGCAATAGAGGGACTGACCTAAGGCTTCCATGGATGGGCCTGGTTTAGGGGCAAAATATACCCTGACAGGCTACGGTCCACAGAGCCTGATGAGAAGGATGCGCAGGAGTGTGTGTGTGGAGGGGGAGGGAGTGGGGGTGGTCACTCAGACATTCTATGGGGTACTCACTTGACCACCTGGGAAGGGTGGCTTGGCCTTGTCATGGACTGACACCTTAGCTGCTTTGTGGGCCTTGGTCCTGTAGGCCTGTTCTGATGACTTCTGAAGAGGGTTGGCCACTCAAGTTCGCTCTGGTCATGGCCACTGAGGATTGCCTGGGGGCAGTCACAGGAATCATTCCAAGTGGAGCTGCTCCGAAGTCCTCCCCCCGCTCCTCTCCCCCTCTCCTCCGCCCTGGGCCCCTGCGGGAGGAAGCCCATAGTGCCCTGGACCTCAGGGACCTCTGGGAGCCCAGACAGCGCCCGGGAGCAGTCCGCCGCTAGGGGGCGACCGCTAAGAGCCAGCCCGCCCGCGCGGAGTCCGCTCCTTTGGGGTTCGCGCACCCCCACGCCCAGCGAGAGGTGGAGTGACAGTGGGGTGGGGGCGCACGCTCCATGGGTGTGAGACGGGTGTGAGTCAGCGCGTGGGGGGAGGGGGCGAAGGAGCTCCCTGAATAGTCGCGGAATCACACTCCCGCGCCGCGCCTCCACGCATCCCGTCTAGAGCCTGTGTCCCCGTCTCGCGCGTGTCCCCATCCTGCGTGTGTTCCCGCGAACGGCACGGTGTCTGAGTGCAAGCTCTGAGTCTGTCTGGTGAGGTGGGGGGAGGGAGGAGGGCAGTGTCCCTGTGTGTGTGTCTATGCCCAGGTGAGGGGGTTTCTCCCTCCCCGCTCCACGTGGGTGTGGGGGTGTGTCCCGGTGTGTCCCGGTACGTGCGCGCGTGTCCCCGCGGTGGGACCGCTCAGCGGGGCAGAGCGCCTGCGTCCGCCCGGCGTGTCTGGGTCCGGCTGCTGGCGCCATCTCGACCCGGGCTCCCACCCGGCGTCGGGAGGCCAGCGCGTGGGGTGTCCAGCTCCTGACCGAGCGAATGCCTCCACCCCCTACCCCCTCGCCGGCCAGGGCGCCCTAGGGCGCGGCCTGCGTGGGCCGGGCCGGGTGTGTGTCCGGGGCGGGACGCAGGATGGGGCGGGCCGGGTCCCCGGGCGGGGCGCGGGCTCGGGGGACCGCGCGGCTGACGTCAGGCGGCTCCTTAAATAGAGCCGGCAGCGCCGCTCGCCTTTCCGAGGAGCCGGAGCGCGGCCGCGCGAGCGCCCCCGAGCGGCCGCCGCCACCGCACGGCCGCGCCGCCGCCGGGTCGGGGATGGGGCTGCGGGCGCCGGGTGCGCTCCCAACCCTTCGCGTCGAAGGGCCGAGCAGCGCCGGGAGTCGCCCCGCCGCCGGGAGCCCCGCCGCCTAGGACGGGGCGATGTGGGAGGCGCCTCTGCCGGCGCCCCCAGGAGCGACCACCCCCGGGCCCCCGGGCACGGGGCGCGCCCCGCCGGCAGCGCCGGGAAAGGACGGCCGCCCCACGGCTGACCCGCGTGGCCCAGGCGGCGCCGCCCGAGCCCTCTAGGCGGCCGCGGGGCCCCGGGAGCTCGCCGCCAGCGCCCCCTCGGAAGCCATGCCCCCCGGCGCGCGCCCAGGGAGCCATGGCCTTTAGGGTCCCGGGCCGCGCGGGGCCACCTCAGCCGCGGAGGGCGCGCCGGCTGCTCTTCGCCTTCACGCTCTCGCTCTCCTGCACTTACCTGTGCTACAGCCTCCTGTGCTGCTGCGACGACCTGGGCCGGAGTCGCCTCCTCCGCGCGCCCCGCTGCCCCCGCGGCCCCCGCGCGGACGTCCCGAAAGTTGTCCCGGGGCCCCGCCCCTGCGACCCCCCGGGGCCGCCGCCCCGCGCGCCCGCCCCGCGCCCCGCGCCCGCCAACCTCTCGGGCTCCCCGAGGCCGGGCACCAAGCGGCTGCCCCAGGCCCTGATTGTGGGCGTGAAGAAGGGCGGCACGCGCGCCGTGCTGGAGTTCATCCGCGTGCACCCGGACGTGCGGGCCTTGGGCACCGAGCCCCACTTCTTCGACAGGAACTACGGGCGCGGGCTGGACTGGTACAGGTAAGGGGGCCGCCCCGAGCGCGCCTGCTCCCCACCCGCTTCATGCTCGGAGCCACCCCTGCGTTTTCTCTCCCCGTCACCGGCTGGTCGTGTGGGCTCAGGCTGACACGCGTGGGGTTACCCAGAACTTCGGATTCTTTGGACACGCGGTTTCTTGAATGGCAAAGGCCGTTGTCACTGCAGGGAAGGGAGGGCTCTAGCCGATTCAGGGCGGGCAGCGGGCGACTCCCTGCCCAGCCTTTGGGATGGAGCATGGTGCCCAGGGAAGGGCAGGGAGGACGCCTCCACAGCCTCCCCTGGCCTCCGCCCTGAGAAGGATGGAAAGTAGAACAGGAGGACCTTGGCGACAGGGCTCTGTGCTTCGGGAGGTCCCCACAGTTCCAACCGGATGAGCGAGGGCACCCAAGGTGCCGGAGGAGGAGGTTCCCTTCTGCAGGTTCACGTCCAGCCCCAGGTTTTGCTGTGTTAGCTGGGCTCAGACCCGTCCCTCTGACCCCGAGTTCCTGGTTGTAGCCAGGGAAAGGATGCCTGGATCTGAGGCTTGGCTCTCACTTAGCTTGAGCAAATCCCTAAAACACTTTGAGCCTTGGTGTTCTCATCCATCACACGGCACAGAAGCAGCCTGTGCCCTGGCTGGCCCCAGGCCTTCCTACTGCTTTATCACGCCAACTAGGTGACGCTTCTAGACCAGCCGCCAAGATAGGGAGTTTGGGATACTGTTAGCACTCAGATGAAGATTGGCCAGGGTTGTAGGAGCAGCCAGTCCACTCCTCCGCTGGCTGCAGTGCTGAGGGTGAGAGTCACCCAGGTTGGTAGGTCTGGGGGCAGCCTGAAGCTTCTGGAAGGTGGCAGCTGCCACTGTCCATGTACCTCCCAAGCCCTGTACGGTGCTGAGGTGTGGGCCTGGCCCATGTGTTGGCTGATCGGGGTATCCTGGGGAAGATATAATGTATAGGTTCCCCATAACACATGGCTCCCACACTTCCCCACATTCCCCTGACCCCCTGTAGACTTTCTAGAAAGGTCTTCCTAGGATTGGAACTGGGGAAGGTAACTGCACAGTAGCTGAGGCTAATTTTTAAAATTTGTATAAAAATAAACCCATTAGGAATTAGGAAGTCCTAAGTATACTGGGCAAAGGACAACTTTATTAGAAGGACCCCACTAGGCTCATAAAGGGGCCCTGGATTGCAAGAAGCGGGGCAAGGGGCTGACATCCATCTTTGCCGGTTAGCCTTCAATGGCCATGGTTGTGGGAGCAAGGGTGGCACACGTGCCATGCTCGGGAGACAGGCAGGCATGTAGTCTGTCTGTCCCCTGCAGAGCCCAGAGGGATAGCTGGCCTGGGGGTGGCCCAATGCCATTATGTTGGCTCGGTGGCATAGGGTGGCCCAGAAAGGCTGGTCTGGTGCTTTCCAAGCCGTGACCCACAGGTACCCATCTGGGCATCTGAGGCGAGCAGGGACAGCGCCGGAGCCCGGCCCCAGGCGGGGGACGCCAGTGCTTGCACCCGCAGAGCCCTGTGTGGGTCCGTCATGGCCACACTCTCCTGCACAGCAGGGTTTCCTCGGGGGAAAGGCTGGAGATCATTATGAAGCCCTTTGCCAATGGGAAGTGCTTTTTATGTGCAAAAATCACAACGTTCTGGGCATCTGGCCGTTAGATATTGTGTCCTCCAACAAACACCCGTGCCCTGCAGTCTCTGCCCTCTTCCCGCTCCCCCCAACGCCGCGCCTCAGGCTTCCTTCCCAGGCCCGTGTCTTTCAGGGATGGCTGCTTTTTATTTTTAACCTTGGCATGTGTGATTCTAAGCCAGCTTAGCTGTGAACCTTCGAGATGGGAGCCGTGCCTTTTTTTTTTCATATAGCACATTTGGATTCTGCTAAAATTCTCAGCTGAGTCTTGGTAGGTTTTATTTAACATCAAGCACGCTGACAGCTCCATGTCTCAGGGCCTTACTTACCCTCCCTTCTCCCTTCATATTTCTAAAAGAACAATTAGCCTGGGGGTCTGCTTGTGAATTGCCATCTATGCTCAGGTAATACCATTTGGATGCTGTTTCCATAATTTCCAGAGCATTTCTGTGTGTTTTACCCTTTATTATCACTCAAGTAATAAGCATTAATTGAGGAAATGAAGGGGATTTCTGAGGTCCTTAAAAGCCCACGGTCCCACTTGATTCCTGAATTCCACAAGTTGAACGGCAGGGGACGTGATGCTCCTGCCAGCCTGCCGCCCCGACTGTTTCGCAGATGTGAGAACTGGAACCCCGGGAGGAGCATGTGGAACAGGGTCCCAGCAAACGGAAGCAGTTAGGACCAGCACCTGTGCATTCCAGCAGGTGCTCTAACCACGCTCCACACGCTGGCCACCAGGAAGCCAGGGTCCACTGGCAGACTTGCCCCGTGTGCCCTCTGTGGTGGACTGTTTCCTAAAAGTGGAGTTGCAGAGCTCTGGCAGTGGGTCTCATGTGACTTGTCCCTGCTAAGCCCCTGGGGATAAGTTCCTGGGGCCGGAGCCCAGATTGGATGGACAACGGGAAAATTAATAGCTTTACCCTCAACCCAAAGGAGAGACTTTGTGCTGTGGGCAGACAGAGGTAAACCAGGAGGTGACACGCAGTGCCTGAAGGTGGGTGACACAGCTAGAGGGGACACCATCGGCAGAGACCAGGAGACAATGTGCACCTTCCTTGCTCCCAGCCCGAGCTCTCTCTTGGGAACCAGCCCTAGTCAGGCCACCCAAGCAGAGCCCCGCCCTCAGCGGTGGTACCTCCCTTTAGGTATTTCCTGAGGTCCCCTCAGGGAAGCTCTCTCCTCCCCTATCCTTCTTGCCTGGTTCCCTTCTTTCAGTTTCCTTCCCAGCGAGGCAGCTGGGCCTGCAGGGTAGGGTCGGCTAGCTGCCTGCCTGATGGGCACAGTGAAACCACCCTGAGGAGGGACCAGGCCAGCACCTGCCAGAGGCTGGAGGTGGTCACCTGGATGCTGGGGCTGGAGGCAGTGACCTTTCTGCATCTCCGTGCGCTGGGCGGAGGAGGGCACCTGGTAACTCTCACAGGGGCTGTTTTGAAGAGTGAATGAAACACTGTGTGACAGTGCCTGGAACTCTGTGGTCCATGGAGATAAGGCAGAAGGTTACCACTGCTGCCACGATCACCTTATCCTTGCGCTACCCACACTGGGATCACCTCAGTACTATTAGTATCAAAAGGGTGGATTTCTGCTGGGCTGCTGTCACCAGATGGGCTGAGGAGTTAACTAATGGCTGGGAAAGTAGTTCCATGAGACAAGCAAGGGTCCTGGCCTTAAATTTTCCTTTCAGTTCTGCTTCAATTTTATTTTCATTTTTGCTCCCTCCCTTCGATAAAAAGCCACCTCACATTTCTAGTTGTCAGTTTGCTCCCCTTTAAAATGGGAATGCTGCCTGCCCTGCCTCACGGTCTTGTGAGAATCCGCAAGTCAGCCCATGTGGTAGCGCTCCCCGGTCTAAGGTCATGCTCAGGGTGCTCATTCGCCAGGGCTGGGAGTGAGGCTGCACAGTCAGGCTTTTCATCTTTTTCTTTTTTTTCAATTGATTTCAGAGAGGAAGGGAGCGGCAGAGAAAGATAGAAACATCAATGGTGAGAGAGAATCATTGATTGGCTGCCTCCTGCACCCCCCCTGCTGGGGATCGAGCCATGACCAGGAATCAAACCATGACCTTCTGGTTCATGGGTTGATGCTTAACCACTGAGCCACACCAGCCAGGCCAGCGTCTTCATCTTTTATAAAGAGATACGAGCTGTGCCTCATCCAGTAGGTTTTGGCGTCTTGGGGAGGCTGAGTTTTGTTGGTTTTCGGCGATGGGTGGGGAGCATTGTGAAGAGGAGGTGAGCCTCTCTAACACACTGGAATGCTGGCAAGAGCAGGGTAATCTGTGATCATTGACTGTGCTCCGGTGTCTGCATCGTGATAGATGAGCCCGTTCTGTAAATTTTAGACTCCAATCCACTGCGTATTTATTTGTTCACTGTGGATGGTGGTCTGGGACCGTGTGAGACAAGGAAGACAGTATTTGCCCCAGAGGCAATGTTTACATAAGAAAGAGAGTAAAAACACAGAATAAGGTCTATTGCTTTATCCAGCTCACTGCAGTCAAGAAATTAATCTTTAGGGACAAAATTTAGGAAGGAATAAAACCAAAGGCAGAGGCCAGGGAAATAGTTAATACAGAAGAATCTTTAACAAAGTGATCAAGACACAACACACACTTATCCACGCTTGTTGAGTGTGCACACACATGACACACACTTATCTATTCTATTGAGTGGGCACAGATGCCTGGGAGGGCACACTCACACACACACGACACACACTTATCTATTCTATTGAGTGGGCACAGATGCCTGGGAGGGCACACTCACACACACACGACACACACTTATCTATTCTGTTGAGTGGGCACAGATGCCTGGGAGGGCACACTCACACACACATGACACACACTTATCCACGCTGTTGAGTGGGCACAGATGCCTGGGCGGGCACACTCGCACACACACATGACACACACTTATCTATTCTGTTGAGTGGGCACAGATGCCTGGGAGGGCACACTCACACACACATGACACACACTTATCCATGCTGTTGAGTGGGCACAGATGCCTGGGCGGGCACACTCGCACACACACACGACACACACTTATCTATTCTGTTGAGTGGGCACAGATGCCTGGGAGGGCACACTCACACACACATGACACACACTTATCCACGCTGTTGAGTGGGCACAGATGCCTGGGAGGGCACACTCACACACACACGACACACACTTATCCACGCTGTTGAGTGTGCATAGATGCCTGGGAGGGCACACTCACACACACACGACACACACTTATCTATTCTGTTGAGTGGGCACAGATGCCTGGGAGGGCACACTCACACACACACACACATGACACACACGTATCTATTCTGTTGAGTGTGCACAGATGCCTGGGAGGGCACACTCACACA